TTTTTTAACGTGATGCCAATCGATTTTACGACTAGTATCTTCCTTCGTTGATCTTTTTACGCTTCGTTTGGGACCAATCACGTATTTTCTTTGTTTAGTTTCTTCTTTAGACAATCGACGCCTATAAAAGAGTGTTAGAGAAGCGTGCTGATATAGAGTAAAATAACGAATGTTTAATTAAAACAATGCAAACTTGCCTGTCGTGTATTGTTGTTGTATGGCTCTCGAGAACACTTATAAGTGCAATAGGTGCTCAGGGCACTTTTATCATGTCCTGTTAGATTAGAGTGTGGCTATATCACTGCACTCCAGAGCGTTGATAATTTGCTTAATTACGTCTTACAACTTGCTTTCCCTTTCATTCACAGCTTTTTAGAGGAAGTCATTCACGCCACTGGCCAAGGAGCGGCATCTAGAGCCCGGGCTTCCTCGGGCGGAGCACATTACAGATCGTCTTATACGTCATCGTTTTTCTGATTGTTCAGTTATATATATATAACACTTTAGAATCCTGATACTTATTCCAGTAATCCTAATGCTAGGAACTTAAAAGGCAATCACGAGGGCAACGAGAACATCGTCGCACGAAGGTTTACTGAGCAGTGGCCCGCACGTGCGTTGTACAACGTCATTTTGGAACATTTCTTCAAAAGTACCCCGCTGTGCGTGGTGTTTTCAACTCTTTTCTCCAGCGGTGTTTGGAAACGTGGTCAAACACGGTCTTTCTTTCGAGATATATTACTTAGCTGCCTTGTACAACTAAATTCTGAGTTAATGAATTCTGAATTTTGAATTCGTCGTCTAAGTTGTCTGCTTCTGTTTCGAATCGGACGTTGGCTTGGGAATGACTCTTACTTAAAGGCAAACCGAGTAGTTCTGAAAGAGAAAATGATTCTTTTCTTGCCCTCGTCGTTGTCCGGCCTGGAGGTCGCTGTCTTTAAAATTTCCAACATTTAAAGTTAATCACGAGACGTTTATAGCGAGATACACAAATATATGAGCCAGTCCTGTTATGATAATCCATTTAGCTTCGAAGTTATTAGTGAGAGTAATTTTTTTTAACAATTATGTAATAAATATTATTGAGTTGTACTTTCATGGTGATATGTTATAGAACAAGTTTCGATAATCCATTGAACAATCAGTTGACGTCACACGTTGCTTAGTAACACGACGTACCTTTGAAGCTGCGGGCAGACAGCGGTGAAACGTAAGGCGTATGCGCAGTACAGCTTTATAACCCCCCAGCTCCAAATATGAAATGTTTTTGTTACTTTCACGACCTTTTTTGCCCTCAGTGAAAGACTTGTCGCTTAACTGGAATAATAAAGCATCCGAGAATGAATACAGGCTCCTACAAGGATAAGAAATGATAAGGATGAAAAGGTAAATTCTTCTTACTGGTTGCCAAAATTTCTTTACCTTTTGTTTAAGAGAATTTGGTGATACATCAATACAAGACAATCCTGCTCCGGTTGAGAATGTTCTTATTCGCGTGAAAATTGTCATGCTCACATTGTATTGATGTTGTAAAAAATAAAGAACTATACGTTAAGTGGTCTTGGGAATTAAAGATCGAAACACAGCCGTGTGCGCTGTTGGTCAATAAGAGCTCTTTTAAATTTGAATACGATGGGAATTTGAGAACACTGGAGAAAACCAAACCGTGTTCGCGGAAACCAGCTGTTGTAGATGGCGAGAACAGCCGGCATTTGGACTGTTATTTGGAACTGTCATTCAAGTCTCTAAATACAGAGGTAATATTCTCTACAGCTTTAGCAATGCATTTTTCCGTCGTAAAACACGACGGACATTTGAGAACCCTAGGGAAATGAAGAAAATAACCGCAAGCAAGTGTTTTCTCAACATATTTTAAGAAGCTTTGAGAAAAAGCTGAAGCAATTTCTCTATAAGGTTAATGCAACTTTTGCATTTTGAAGACAAATTAATTTTTGTGTCGGGTCGTGTTAATTTCCAATATATGACGGTCGCCATAATCGTTGTTGACACAGCGTAGGGCGGCATGCACAATTAAAACTCTCGGAACAACATCAAAAGAGTTTTGATTAGCAAGGGAAAGCGATTTATATCACTTACTTCAGCTTACAGCTCCAATAAACCCGGCCCCGATGAATTTTTCGTGCGGGCACAATGTTCACACGGCTTACTCTCGTATATGTATTGTGAGAAGGCCTGAGTTCAGTTTCCAGCTGAACTTAGATGATCGAGAATTTGATTCTCCTGTCGGACTTGCTTGTTTAATTACTGCACGATTCAAATTTGTATTATTAAACATATATATTTACGGGATGGCCGTAAGAAGAAAATGTTTAATATAGTGAATCCAACTTTACCTTAGAGGCACGATGTGTTCTTAGATCTTATTGAATCGAAGCCTTTCTCAAAGGGTCGGCACGATCTCAAGAGTTTATTACCGAATGCATTTAGTTATTTTAGTCGGCGAAAACAATGTATTTCTATTAAAAATGGACAATTAAAAGAGCTTAAGGTATGGTGACTTGTAGTCTAGGGAGACAGAAGATAAAACAGATATTGCGAGAGGAATAAATTGCGGTGGGCGTTCAAACAGTTTTCAACAAACTTAACTGAGATCGAAACCTGGAGGGTTCTTATAACAGTATCCAGAAAAATACGTTTCTTTACAGCATTTTAAGCTAACTTTGAGGAAAAGCATGTCGTTAATTGCATTGCGTTTCAGGAACAAACCGTTTGTATATAGTATCCCAAAACAATTTCGGAAAAAAAAACATTCAAAACTATACCTCACTGAACCAGATTAAGTTCAGTTTGGTTCCGATAATTTCTTTACAAAACTCTGTCGACAAACTGAAGGATTCTGAGTTGCAAAAAACACCTGACATTAACAACAGTTTGCAAGTCAGTTTCCCCGCTCCAGGAAGCTATAGGAAGCTATAGTTAACAGTAAAAATACCAACTTTGAAACGAAATTCAAAGAACTCTTAAGGAGACAAGCGAAAAAGAATAAAAACATGTAAGACTTACCTTAAGCAGGAGAATAATAAAGATTTTACGCAGTTGAGATAAACTGAAAAAAAACCTGAATGGCGCGTCAAAGTGGGAGCTTGACAAATGAACCAAGCTGCCTCTCTTTCTCGCTTTATGTAGGTGAGGTTGCTAGGCAACACTGAAACGTAAGAACTGTCAGTAACCGACGTGGTTTGTCGCAGGAAATGAAAGGCTGTTTCGTTCTTACAAATCAAAAGTCGTAGGATAAGCGGGGGTGATTCCACTACAACTGCAACAGAAACAGTAGATGATTTTCTCTTGATGGAGGAAAATTAAAAAGTGGTGAGCTGCCGGAGACTCTTAATATAGGATGTGGTAAAATATAGCGGATATTTGAATGACAGGAAGTTAGAGAAAAAGATGAATACAAATGAATCATCTATTTCTTTCTGCTCTGTAAAAGATGCTCATTCACATATAGTAAAAACCAGCGTGTAAGAACCTAGTGGTTTAAGAACCTGCAGACAGAAATTTGCCATTTTAATAGCCAAAAAGGTATAACAGCCTATTTATCCAAGCAAGATCAAGCAGCTTCTTAAATGTGGGTTCCAGTTAAATTGTGATAAACATTTTAACCAAGGAGTGATTCTGAGATTTCAAATTTATATCAAGTTCCTAGAAAATACATAATACAGTTGTGAATAAAGACTGTATATTCAAGGACCAAACCCAAGTTTATTTATTTTTCTGGTAATCAACAACTATATCTCCCTCAGAGAAACTGAGAACCTAATTAGGAACCTACTTACCCTAAATTGCCAATAACTAAGCCAAAATACAAGAACCCATTTTGCCAGACTACAAAAAATGTAGGTTCTTAAGTGAGGTTTTTTAGTGTAACACAATTAATCGCAACTGCAAAATTCTCGATATAGAGGAGCACGGAGGGTGTAATGTTTGAACGTACGTGTGACAGTCAGCCTAYGCACAGACGCCTTATTTAGATGAATATGGAATGACTTAATTAAGAYCTTTGCAGCATAAATTAGTAAGAACCCAGGCAACATCGCCTGGCAAGYACCCTTTTTTAATCTATGTCTTGGTAGAWATCATTRGTGTAATGTGTTGYTCTTTAATAGACTTATTTTTCCAAGAAATAAAACAAGTAATAATTTGRTAGCCTAATAATATTTCGACCAGAGTGATATCAAAGTCAGTAAACGTGACTTGAAGATATATTGGATACAMGCYAAATTTCCTGTCTGTAAGACAAATTCTGTTTCCAGGAGCTCAGCCTTAAAAGCTACCGGTTATTAAACGTTTCGAACGTGATACTTTTAAGACATAATTTACCGTAAAACCCATTATCAACATCAACGACATCTGCAATGATGGACCACGAAAGTTCCTCTCTCGGTATTGGTTTGCAAGATTTTTGTAGCCTCAGCCTCACGCAGCCTCGTTTTGGGCTCGTCAACGTTGCGCAACGGACGTCAAACGAGGGCTGCGAAGGAGAAGAACTCTTGAGGGAACAGAGTCGCTAAGTGCAGCATTACAGAAGGAGAAAGGGAAAACGAAAACGTTCCCCTTCAGAGGAGTTTGTCGCAAAAACCCGAAAACCCGTTATCAACAAATGACATGTAAGCGATGTCAAGGATTGAAAATACTTGAAATAACACCATGAGCCCATCTGAACTTTTCAGCTTACAGGTTAAATTAAATGAAATCGTTCAACTGTTCTACTTAAGAAGTAGCCGATCTCGAGGACTGAAAATAATTTAAATAACACCATGAACCCCTCTGAACTTTTCAGCTTATGGGGTTAAATTCAGTGAACTCGTTTAACTGTTCCACTTATGATAGTACATTTAATCGGCTGCTCTTTTACGTTTTTTGTTAGTAAGTGCGCACTTATATCAGTATTGTTTACGCAACAAGTTGTACATTACATTCAGCATAACAATATTAAGTAATAATGGGCCTTTTCGGCTATATGGAGGCCGTTTTCAATTTTGTTTCAAATAGCTATCAGGGGATGCTCAGGGGGCAAATACAAACGAATTTGCCCCCTGACCATCTCATAATAGCTATTTGAATTCAAAACGGCCGCGTTTCCTCGAAAAAGGTCCATTATCACCTAACCTACAGCCTGCGATGCACGCGTATTTTGGCGAACGAGCGCACGCATCTTGATAGGGCGAGCTTCATCTTGAATTCACACTCACAAGAGACGAAATGAGGTCCTAGGGATTAGGGGTGAGGCTAAAAGAGGAGTAACGGGGGAAGGGGAGGGGAAGGAAATTTTCCTCCTTTCGTCCCCACCCCTCCCCGCCCACTTTTCCTGAGACAACATGGTGGAGAATCTACTTGATAGCGAGCTAATACCGATAACTCGTAAACACACGGAAAACGCCTACACTGCAGGCTACCTAACCTATATTGGCCTCTGTTAGGTTTTCATTAAAAACCCATCCTTGGTGACCCAGAGACAGTGTGTGGGACTAAAACGACGGGAAGAAAAAAAAATTCAGTAATGGATATAAGGTCATCTTTTGCGGTGTAAGGGAACTTATTTTTTTCTTTGACAAATGCGTGTCGATGGTTGGGGAGGCGGGGGGGGGGGGGGGGGGGGTTG